ACGCTTGGGCCCCCAGCCCATGCGATATGATGTGAACACATATTTGGAATCTACGCAAGAAGTGTTAGAAGACTAAGCGAGAATGAATGCATTGAAGAGAAAGCTAGTACAAGTGCTAACCCTAATTGGGTTGTACCCCATATAGGCTACCGCACTACAGCTATACAACATACACAAAATAATAGTTTGACACACCCCCATAGGCAAAGTGGGGGAGAACAAGGAGTTACAAGACCAGTCAAGAAAAGCAAAGCAAGCTCAGGGTGGATCACGAAGTCACCACACACTATGAGCACAAGCAAATGGCCACAAGGCCAGTTCACATGCAGAGTTATATAAATGGGAACAATCAGTACAATGATCACAATCTAGCAAGTGTAAGCATGCAGGTATAAGTATATAGATCACAGTACAAGCAAAGTCACAAAGTGAGCAAGCGAGGCAAAGTAGGCACGAGGCCTAAAACAGTACAGAAACGCTGATGATCACCACGCTGAAGTGCCTTGGTGAATATATCAGCAGTGTTGGCCCGAGTGGCCACGTAAGCAATATGAAGCTGACCACGCTGCTGCAACTATCGAGCAAGGAAGTAACGCAGAGCGATGTGCTTCGTTCTGTGCTCCAGTCTGTGCTCTTGTCACAAGGCGATCATGGCCTTGTTGTCTACGTACAGAACTAGAGGAGAACTAGGTCGCTCTCCCAAGTCACTCATCAGGTAGGTGAGCCAGCGTAACTTAGCCATGGACCCTACGTAGATCTCAGCCTCACAAGTCGAACTGAGAACAGAAGATGAGCGGGTAGACCGCCAAGAAACAGAACAAGAGCCAAGGCTGAAAGTGTAACTTTGTGACGACCGCTGTGTAGCCAAGTCGTTAACCCAAGACACGTCTGCATGGCCGGTGAGAACAACTCGACTTCATCCTCCCAGCATGAGCCCCATGCCCTACGCACAGCACAAGTAGCGCAACACCCTCTTAGCGGCCTCCCAGTGCTCTTGTCGGTATATCCCGGGCGCAACGTAGCGTGCCAGGATGCTAAGAGGATAGGAAAGGTTAGGTCAAGTGCAGGTCATCAAGTACATGAGGCAGCCCACAAGCTCTGGATATGGGCCACTCGGCTATACGGACTCGTCCGAAGGTGGAGCTGAGAGCAAATGACCGGTAGGCAGAGGAGTGGACTGTGGCGTGGAGTAGTGGAAGTGGAAGCACTGAAGGACCTGGTGCACCATGTGTGACTTAGGTAAGGTGATGGTGCGCCGTGTTCTGTCTCGAATGATCTGCAAGCCAAGATAGCTGCACAGCTCACCTAGTTCTGTGCACGTGTGTCTCTTCTTTAGCTTCGACTTCACTAGAGTCAGTGCCTCATTGTCAGGAGTGGCAAGAACCAAGTCTTCGACGTACACGAGGATGTAAAACGGCGGCAACGAAGTGTCAGGGCACAGAAACAACGACAGGTCAGCAGTCGAAGGAGCAAACCCAAGAGCTGCAAGTATCTTCCTCATTGTGTCGTGCCACTGACGAGGCGCTTGGCAAAGACCATAGACTGGCCGCCGGAGGCTCCATTGGATACCTGCAGGAAACAACCTCGTGAAGCCAGGTGGGCAGCGCAGCCAGATCTCCTTGTGCAGACTGCTCTGTAAGAAGACAAGAGAGTGAAGCTCGTAGTCACGCTGAACGGCGACGTGCAGCAGCACCCGAAGAGTGGTCATCTTCGGAGTAGGGGAGAAGGTCTCAATGAAGTCAACTCCCTATCGCTGACTCAAACCTCATGCGACGTAACGAGCCTTGAAGACAAGCGGAGAACCCGGCGGCCGCTTCACCCTGAAAATTCACATGCCATCGAGCATGTTCACCCCATGAGGGGGAACTGCGTCGACGTAAGTGCCTGTGGACTTCCAAGATGCCATATTTGTGAGTAGATCTGCACTGTGGATGCCCAATTGATCCTGGAGAGGGTTACAGGCGCGTTCGCTTGGGGGGTTATGAGCGCACTGACCCGCTACTGAAACAAGCCCTTTTATCCCAATGGTCTAGTGGTTGGGATTCTGACATGGTATCAGAGCGGTCTCGGGTTCGATTCCCGGTGTATGCACATGTAGGCCGTTGCCGGTATGCTTAGTCCTGGGCCTCCCAGTGTGGGGGGGTGTCAGTAGATCTGCACTGTGGATGCCCGATTGATCCTGGAGAGGGTTACAGGCGCGTTCGCCTGGGGGGTTATGGGCGCACTGACCCGCTACTGAAACAAGCCCTTTTATCCCAATGGTTTAGTGGTTGGGATTCTGAAAATCTCTACGTCCATGGCTATCTGCCACTGAGAGGAGTAGGGACCCGTAACCGCCTCTGCGTAAGAGCGCGGGGTCGGGATGTCTGGAGCATCCAGGTCTCCATCAAGTGCAAGCAGCATGGACACGAGATGAGGTACAGCAGCTGCAGGACACTCAAAGTCCTCGTGCCTACCCTCAAGAACGTCCCTGCCAAGAGCACACTCACCCCCGACGGACGGAGGACAGACAGACTCACACTCAGCAACAAGACTAGTTGCGTAGTCGAGACGATAGCTAGTAGCAAAGTCGACAAGCTCAGCAACTAAGGTAGTCGCAGTAGTGGACTCAAACGAAGGGTCGGTGACAACAGTGGCTAGAAGACGTGCGACAGTAGGACTGGCAGCATAAACTAAGTCAGACTCAGGGTCCGGACCGTCAGGAAGAGAGGACGTAGGAGGAGACGGCAGGGGAACTTGCAGTGGAATAGAGGAAGGACGAAGTGCCATAGTGTGAGTACCCGGGACAAGAGGAGGACGCGGACGCGGAACATGACGACCAGTGCAACTAGCGCAAACAGGCGAGGAAGGGCGAGACGCAGGCTCACGACGCTCTGCAAGAGAGTCTGTCTGATCAGTGTAAGGAGAAGGAGCAGGCAGTGGGGAGGCTGGCTGTAACTGTAGCTGTGACTGGCCAGACGGTGGACACAATAGAGGTGGAGTAAGTTCAGTAGAAGACGGGAGACTAAGAACCTGGCGAAGCAGTGGAACAAAGTACGGTCGCGGCCACACAGTGCCTCCAGCACTCGTACCGACAGCTCCAGCACCCCCCGCTCCAGGGACTCCATCTCCAGTGCCTGCAGCACCACCAGCTCTAGCAAATCCAATACCTCCAATACGAGCACCTCCGGGACCAGCAGCTCCAGCACCTCCTGCACCTCCAACACCTCCAGTACCTGCAGCACCACCAGCTCCGGCAGCTCCAGTACCTCCAGCACGAGCACCTCCAGGATTAGCAGCTCTATCACCTCCAGCACCTCCAGTATCTCCTGCACCAGCAGCACCACCAGCTCCGGCAGCTCTAGTACCTCCAGCACGAGCACCTCCACGACCAGCACCTCTAGCAGCCGTGCCTCCCGCGGCAGGCTCCCTAGCTCCAACAGTGCCTCTCCAAAGGCGGGTGCGCCGAGCAAACCACTCGCGCAGCTGCAGTGGAGAGAGAGGCTCCCGTAGTACCTCCAGCAGACACAGTACTGCTAGGCTCAGCACCCCCAGGCTCAGAACCCCTAGGCTCCGCATCCTCAGGCTCAGCACCCCCACGCTCCGCACCCTCAGGCTCAGCGCCTCCATGCTCAGCACGCTCAGGCTCAGCACCCCTAGGCTCCGCACCCTTAAACTCACCAAATCCAGGCTCCGCACCCCCAGGCTCCGCACGCTCAGCTCAGCACCCCCAGACGCAGCACCCCTAGCAGCACCCCCCCAAGCAGTTCCAGACTCAACAACTACCTCGACAGGCTTAGCCAAGGGGAGTGGGTCTAGCAGAGAAACACTTCAGGGAGCAGGACCCTGAGGGGGGAGGGGGTCTATCGGAGCGGCAAGTGGGGGGGGGGGGGGGGGGAGAGGGGCAGTGCGGTAGGGGAAGAGACGGTAAAGAGGAACCGACTCGTCAAACATGACGTCTTGAGAGGGCAGGACACGACACAAGGTAGGGTGGTAAAACTGCCAGCCAGACACATCAGGGGGGAAGCCTAGGAAAACACAGGGAATGGCGTACAAGGAGAGCTTGTCCGAGGAGGTATTGCGGACAAAGGCCCGACAGCCCCAGACCCGGAACACCGACGTATCGCCAACACACTGTAGGCGAGGTCTCGGCAAGGAGACACGGGGCCAGAGGTTGAGCTGATGCGCAGCGCACCGAACCGCAAATGGCCACAGAAAATGGGGAGCAGCCACATGGATCATGGAGGTATGAGCGACCACCATCACTAAGCAAATGCGGCACTCAGCAACCCCATTCTGTTGCGGAGAAGCCGGAAGCGTGAACGACTGGCAGATGCCCTCCCCACGACAAAATTCTCGCAAGAGGTCGGAGGCAAACTCATCACCTCTGTCAGAGTGTAGACGTAGGACAAGAAGCTCCGTGCGGAAACGCTCGCAGAGCTGAAGACAAACAGTCGTCAACAACCAGCAGAAAGTATCACTCGCGGCCCTGTCCACGGACGCGGGCTGGGTCCCACACGTCCATTTGGAGAGTCTGCAGGGGAGCAGTTGTCGGGGGAAACGAGGAGGAGTGGGGAGCAGTGCGCCGCCGCCCCTCGACACAGGGAAGGCAAGGAGGGGCAAGCGAGGGTGGGAGGGGAGGCAGAGACTTGGGAAGTCCTGAGACAAGGTGGCGGGAGTGCATGCCACGGAGACGTGGCAGGGAAGGGTGACCAAGGCGGTGGTGCCAAAGGAGAGTCTGGTGCGACAAGTGGCGACACGAACATGGGGCTGCTGGCTGACCTGACGCGGATGCAGACGCAGCTACCTGAGGAGGCTCAGTAATCAGTATGCATAGACTCAACCCAGGCCGATGGCTGAGCGTGGCCAGGTGACAGCCAGTCCGGGAGCACGTACAGATTGCAAGGTTTGTAGAGAACGAGGGGAGGTGAAGACCTGAGAGCGAGCTGGACAGAACCGTCGGACACGGGAGAACAGTGGAGGAATGCGCAAGAACTGGCCCCCTTGAGGGGTCAGCCAGTCTAACTGCAACAGCTGCAGGGAGTGGTGTGACTGTGGTACGGTTGCGAAAGAAACAGCGGGAAGCACTTGAGTCAACCGTGAAGGTGTGCAAGGCCTCAGTAGGCGCAGTACCAGAGAGAGCAGACTCACTAGCACCTAGGGCAGCAGCCTCTATACTTGGTTCGGGCGGCATACACAGGTAACACTCACCCTCAGCACTAACAATCAAAGCATACAAGGCAGCAAGGATAGCATCATAATCAAGAGCAAAGATATCCACACCCTGCCTAAGCAGCTCTAGCCAACGGGGGAACTAAGTCGCGTCGGGAAACTCCGCGCACTAGGCGTCGTCAAGACGGAAGAAGCAGCAGGACTGTGTGTGACCAACCTTCCCGCATGTTTGACCAGCGCGGTCACATGTGCGAATGACGTACCGGTAGCGAACACTACCCGAAGACGCCCCACGTTGAGCAAACCTTTCACGAAGCTCCTGGGGCGTAGGGGTCTCACGCGGACGCTGCTGCTGCTGCCTCTGACCAACGCCAAAACCTTCCCTCTCACTGGGTCCACCCCGACCGCCACCACTGCCGCCACTGCCACTCCCACTGCCGCCACCACTGCCGCTGCCACCACTCCCACTGCCACCACCACCGCCGCCACCACCGCCGCCACCAACGCCTCCACTCTCACCACCACTCCCTCTGCCACCACCGCAACCTCCACTGCCTCCACCGCCTCCACCACCACCTCCACCGCTGCCACCCCCACCACACTTGCCTCCCTTGCCCTTGCCACTGCGGCGCCTCCCACTAGGTGCAGACGCAACCCCGACCTCGTCGGCACGAAGGAAGTCAACAGCAGCAGCAGAAGCGTAGGTGGGGGCAAGGGGGGAAGGGGAGAACCCCTCAAAGAAGGGAGTGCGAGGAGTGCCACGAGCAGCACCTGTAGTAACTATGCTAGTCTCAGTTGGAAGGTGGTGCTTCTCGAGCAGGTCGCTAGTGAGGTCGGTGGGGTCCATGGTAAGAAAGAGGTCCCTGACTGCGCTAAGAGAGTCAGGGAGGCGGGTGACGATGAAGTAGAGAGCGATGTACATGGGGTGAGGGTTCTTGTTTAGAAACTTGGTGGGAAGGTAGCGAGTGTCACTCGTGCGAAGGACTGCGGCGTGCTCTGTCCTGGGTGATCTGCAAGCCAAGTTAGCTGCGCAGCTCACCCAAGTTTGTGCACGTGTGTCTCTTCTGCAGCTCCGACTTCACGTGGGCCAGTCCAGCAGTGTCAGCAGTAGCAAAGACCAAGTCGTCGACGTACACGAGGGTGAAGAACGGCGGCAGAGTAGTGTCGGTGCGGAGAAACAATCACGCGTCAGCAGTGGAAGGAGCAAACCCAAGAGCTGCAAGCGTCGTCCTCAGTGTATCGCCGGAGGCTCCACTAGGTACCTGCAGGAAACGACCCAGTGAAGCCAGGTGGGCGGCGCAGCCAGATCTCCTCTTGTAGGCTGCCCCATAGGAAAGCAGTGCTGAAGTCAAGAGAGTGAAGCTCGTAGTTACGCTGAGTGGCGATGTGCAGCAGAACTCAAAGAGTGGTCATCTTCGGGGTAGGGGAGAAGGTTTCGAAGAAATCAACTCCCTGTCACTGACTGAAGCCTCGTGCAACGTAACGCGCCTTGAAGACAGGCGGAGAACCCGGCGGCTGCTTCACCTTGAAAATCCACATGCCACTGACTGTGTTCGCCCCAGGTGGGGGAACCTCGTCGACGTAAGTGCCCATGGACTTCCAGGATGTCATCTTTGCGTCCATGGCTGTCTGCCACTGAGAGGAGTAGGGACCCTCTATCGCCTATGCGTAAGAGCGCGGGGTCGGGATGTCTGATGCATCCGGGTCTCCCTAAGGTGCAATCAGCATGGACACAAGATAAGGCACAACAGCTGCAAAGCACTCAAAGTCCTCCTGCCTATCCTCAAGGACGTCTGTGCCAAGAACACACTCACCCCTGACGGACGGAGGACAAACAGACTCAGACTCAGCAACAAGACTAGCGGCGTAGTCGAGACGACAGAGAGCAGCAAAGTTGACAAGCTTTGCAACTAAGGCAGACGCAGCAGTGGACTCAAAGGAAGGGTCAGTGACAGGAGTGGCCAGTAGATGCGTGACAGTAGGACTAGCAGCACGAAGGGAGTCAGACTCCGAGTCAGATAGGGAAGGAAGAGAGGACGCAGGAGGAGACGGCAGAGGGACACGCCGTGGAGCAGTGGAAAGGCACAGAGCCATCCGGTGCGTGCCAGGGATAGGAGGAGGACGCTGACGCGAACCACGACGACTAGTACTAGCAGCACGAACAGGCGACGCAGGACGAGACGCAGGCTCACGATGCTCAGCAAGTCCTCCGGTCGGACTAGTGTAAGGAGAGGGAGCAAGCAGTGGGGAGGCAGGCTGTAACTGGGACTGCGAATGGACAGGCGGTGGACACTCTAAGGAAGGAGCAGGACCAGTAGAAGGCGGAAGACTAAGAACCTGCTGAAGGAGCGGAACGTAGTACGGCCGTGGCCGTGCAGCGCCTCCAGAACCAGCAGGGACAGAACCAGCACCCCCCGTGGCAGCTCCTACTCCAGCAGTACCACCAGCTCCAGCAGCACCTCCAGCAGCACCAGAAGCGCCAACTCCAGCACCCACAGGAGCACCGGCTCCAGCAGCACCGCCAACTCCAGCACCTCCAGCAGCTCCAGCTCCAGGAGGACCACCAGAAGCCCTAGCAGCGCCAGCAGCTTTAGCTCCTCTACCTCCAGCAGCACCTGCCCCAGCAGCACCGCCAGCTCCAGCACCTCCAGCAGCTCCAGCTCTAGCAACACCACCAGGCCCAACACCTCCAGTACCTCCAGTACAAGCACCTCCGGGACCCGTGGCTCCAGAACCCACAGTAGCTCCAGCAGCAGCAAGACCTCCAGCAGCAGCAGGGTCTCCAGTCCCTGTAGATCCACCAGCTCTAGCAGCACGGCTCAAGCACCGAGCAAACCACTCGCGCAGCTGATGTGGAGAGAGTGGCTCCCGCTGGGACAAAGCACCCGCAAGACCTCCAGGCTCAGCACCGCCAGACTCCACACGAGCAGGCCTAGCACCCTCAGGCTCCGCACCCCCAGACTCAGCAACCCCAGGCTCAGCACCCCCAGACGCAGCGCCCCCAGGCTCAGCACCCCCAGATTCAGCACCCCCAGGCTCAGCACCCCAAGACTCAGCACCCCCAGGCTCCGCACGCTCAGGCTCAGCACCCCCAAACCCGGCACCCGCAGGCTCAGCACCCCTAGCAGCACTAGGGTCAACAGCTACCTCAACAGGCTCGACTGCGTCTACCTGGGACACACCTGAGGGGGGAGGGGGTCTACCGGGGGAGGACCTGGCGCGAGGAAGAGCAGCGGGGGGGGGGGGGGGGGAGGGGGGCAGTGCGGTAGGGGAAGAGACGGTAGTAAGGAACAGACTCGTCAAATGTGACGCCATGAGAGGACAGAACATAGCGCGAGGTGGGGTCGTAAAACTGCCAACCAGGCGCGTCAGGGGGGAAGCCAAGGAAGACGCAGGGAACAGCACGGGAGGACAGCTTGTCCGCAGACAAGTCGTAGACAAAAGCTCGAGATCCCCAGACACGGAACGCAGACGCGTCGCCAACCTTCTCCGTCCACCGCAAAGTAGGTGTGGTCTCTATCATGGAGACCCGGGGCTGGAGGTTGAGCTGATGCGCAGCGTACTGAACCGCGAACGGCCACAGAAAATAGGGAGCAGCCGCATGGATCATGGACGTACAAGCGACATTCATGACCATGCCATCGCGGCGCTCAGCAATCCCATTTTGCTGCGGAGAGGCCAGAAGCGTGAACGTCTGGCGAATGCCCTCCGCACGACAAAAGGCTCGCAGAAGGTCGGAGGAAAACTCTCCACCTCTGTCGGAGTGCAGACGCAGAACAGGAAGGTCCAAGCCGAAACTCTCGCTGAGCTCACGACGGGCAGCGCGGATCCAGTCGATCAGCACCTCAGTGACCTCACCCTTGTAGCGCAAGGGGAAGACTGTGGAGTGAACTCGGAGGAGTGAGGAGCGGCGCGCTGCTGCCCCTCGATGCAAGGAACGCAGGTAGGGGTAGGCCCCGGGGGGAGGGGAGGGAGAGACCGGGAAGACCAGTGACAAGGACACAGGAGGCCATGCCTCGGAGACGAGGTAGGGAGGAGTGACCAAGGCGGTGGTGCCTGAGGAGAGTCTGGTGAGACAGGAGGCGACACGAGCACGGGGCAGACTCAGGACCTGATTGGGACGCTGCAGCAAACACCTGACCCGACGCAACTACCTGACCAGACTCAGCAACCGGAGGAGACACGGTAGTCAGGGTGTACAGGCTCGACCCAGGCTGACGGGTGAACGTGGCCAGGTGCCGGCCCATCCGAGTACACAAACAGTGGGTCACCCGTTGACCTCCAGGAGTGAACTGGTCAACGCACGCATTCTCAAGGTCAGCTCCACTCAACAAGTTCGTGGAGAACAAGGGGAGGTGGAGGCCAGACAGAGAGCCAGACGGGACCGCCGAACACGGCAGAACCGTGGAGGAGTGCGCAAGGACCGGAGCCCCAGAGGGGTCAGCAAGAGAGACTGCCACTGGCCGACTGAGCGGCGAGAGTGTGGTGCAGTCGCGAAAGGAGGAGCGGGAAGCACCCGAGTCAATAGTGAAAGTATGCAAGGCCGCAGCAGGAGAGAGCAGACTCACCAGCACCTGGAGCAGTGGACTCACTAGCGCCTAGAGCAGCAGCCTCACCGCCATCTGGAGCAGGAGATGCACCAGCACCTAGAGCTGCAGCCTCACCAGCACCTAGAGCAGCAGACTCTATACCTGGGTCAGGCGGCACACACAGGTAACAGGCACCCTCGGCACTAGTAGGAAATGCATACACGGCAGTGAGGATAGCATCATAATCTAGAGCAAAGATATCTACCCTTTGCCTAAGCAGCTCCAGCCAGGAGGGGAGCTCAGCGTTGTCGCCAAACTCTGTACGCCAAGCGTCGCTCAGACTGGCGAAGCAGCGGGACTGTGTGTGACCAATCGTCCCGCAAGGCTGATCAGCCCGAGCACCAGTGCGAATGACGTACAGGCAGCGAGCAGTACTCTGTGACCCTCTACTCTGAGCGTACCACTCACGAAGCTGCTGGGGCGAAAGGACCGCGCGCGGACGCTGCTGCAGCTGCACTTGGTCACTACAAGAAGCTCCCGAACGACCCGCCCCAGGGCGACTCCCACCACGGCCACCCCTACAACCCCAACTAGCCTACCACTCACGAAGCTGCTGGGGCGTGAGGGACTCACGCGGACGTCGCTCGAGCTGCATCTCGCCACCGCCAGGAGAAGTAGTAGCAGTAGTAGCAGTAGTAACTGCAATAGCAGCAGTAACAGCAGTAGCAGCAATAGCAGCACTAGCAGCACGGCCATCCCTACAACCCCAACTAGTGTACCACTCACGAAGCTGCTGGGGCGTGAGGGACTCACGCGGACGTCGGTGGAGCTGCATCTGGCCACCGCCAGGAGCAGCAGTAGCATTAGTAGCAGTAGCAGCAGCAGTAGCAGCACGGGCAGGGCACTGTGGCTCACTAGAGCAGGGTTGCATAGCCCGGCAGCATGACACGGCTCGGCTGTATAGCTCGGCGCCGCAAGGCGGCTCGGCTCAGCTGGGCGGCGCGGCTTGCAGGTAGGCGCTGTAGGCAGGCAGGCAGGCTTGCGCGGCAGCGCGCTAGTAAGGCACGCGCGCAGGAAGCGTGGGTAGGGCAAGTGCTCACCAGTGGCGGGAAGGGCAGTCGCTCGTTGGGCGAGCAGGGTAGGCGCACGACGGCGGCGATGGTGAGGCCGGGACAGTTGGAGGGCGGGGCCGCGACAGCGGCAGGGGGCTCCGCGGCAGCTGCTGCAGGGCGGGGCCGCGACTGCTGTAGGCGGCTCCGCGGCAGCTGCAGCAGAGCGGGGCCGCAACGGCGGCAGGGGGCTCCGCGGCAGCTGCTGCAGAGCGGGGCCGCGATTGCTGCAAGCGGCTCCGCGGCAGCTGCTGTAGGGCGGGGCCGCGATGGCGGCAGGGGGC